ATGATAAGCAGCGCACTTGATATCAAACGGTGACCCAAAACAGCAACATTTTTTAGTTTGACCTGACCTGGAAGGTCAATGACTGACCTGAGAAGGTAAAACTGGGTATCATTGGATTCGTCTCTTCCCAAAGAATCGTTTTGGTCTTTACCGCTAAGCTCTATCTCCAACAGGAACGAAATGGCGCGGGGGGTGGCAACCACCCCCCCCCCCCCATGTGCGTTCTAGGATGGGAAAATGGCATGTGCCGGCGAGGGTTAAGGATATCCACATATGTAGTTATACAGGGTGTCTCAAAAGTTCGTATACACATTTTCCATGCCCATAAAGCATATAAGAACCGGCCAAAAATCTAAGGTTTTTGTGTCTGTGTGCACTCTAGACAAATATGCATGCTTTGACAACTGATTCGGGAGGTTGGAAATCAAACCCTTTGCTGTATCTCCAAAAATATTTGCCCATAACGATTTTCGTCGCTCCGTCAGCTGCCGGAGGCTGATAAAAGGTTACCAGCTTTCAAGCTCTTGTAAGGGAATCCCCTGCAGTTTCTGCGTCGGAATTAGGTTTGACGAGCTCCCCGGCAACATCCGCTTCTCCCTGAAAGCCGACAGCGTGCATCGACACCATCCGTGAGTATTTTGTAGGTCTTCTCTGGCGCTAACTCTTTCATGAATGACTGGCGCCGACCTCCCAAGCACCATTTTCCTTTTCAAAACAACCCCATTCCTGAACAAATGGGAAGTGCCGGGGGAAATTTTTCGCAGCATATCGTAGAAGAATGTGTCGGCCATCTGTTCCATCTGACACATTGTGCAAATTTTGAAATCCCAAACGCTCGTCATTCCCCATGCCAAGACCTTCGCTGGGTTGGGGAGTGTTTTCCTCAGGAGAGGTTCTGCTTTGTAAACGGCCAAAACCTGTCCATCGTGTGGTTTTGTCGGGATTTTGTGTCCAAAAGAAAGCTATTCGCTCCAGATCTGCCTCTTGAAACTTCGTACGATAAAACTTTACATTAATTGACACTTTTGGAGGGTCAGTTGTCCTTGGTATTGGCGATTTTCGTGTTATTTTCCCCAAAAATTTATCGTTCTAGATGTTATAAACAATTTCAAATGATACTTTGTCTTTATTTTACGATGACCTGCAATTTTTGAAACTGGGTAACCTCTGTCTGTGAGCTTCTTGTCAGTTTTCAATAGTTATGCCTTCATTTTCAGCTGCTTTCCGGAGAACGAGTCTGCTGCCGTACGAGGGTCGTTCAAAACGCTGTTAGTCTCGCATGGTTTTGTCCTTCAAAAATTTTAGCCACCGTTTTTATTAGATGATCATCATGTTGTACTCATCCTCGCCGACACTTTGCCATGTGTCATTTCCGACTTAATCATTCCCATTACTCCTGAAACAGAGAGTTTCTCAGCCGACCCGATTTTGCGACCTCCATTTTCATGCTTGACCCATGGTCAGAGATGAACCCTTTTTGTGGGCTCATGAAGGGTCGAATGCGTTTGAAAACAATGAGACTGCTTGAGGAAGGTTGTTACCAATGCCCATGCAAAATTTCGACTGTTTATTTATTGTTGATTCAGAATTATTGACAAAAAAAGCATGGCTGGTGCCTGTCAACGAACTTTTGAGACACCCTGTATTTCGTTTTTTTCAATTTTGAAGGATTAAATTTTATTATTTTTGGGGTTAAAAATATTCAATCTTTCATAATATTTCCACAATGCCTAAGGAATATTGTTGATAGATCTTAGGGCCGAAAAGGAATAAAACAGGGAAAGAAGGATGACTTAATCTGAAAATGTAGACATGCAATATGCTTCACTCTCCCTTGCCAGTCTCTCGTCTATAATCTCTATCTCTGTCACTTGTCTCTGGTCTGCCATCTTTGTCTCTGTCAATTTCGTCTACCGTTTTTGTCTTCTGTCTCTGCTCTAGCGTTTATGCATATTGTTTGCTGTCCACTAGCCACCGTCTACCGTTAGTCTCATTATCACTTTGTCTCCTCTTCCTTTTTCTTTCTTCCTGCGTCCTTATTTGTCGTAGAACAGCTTATTAAAAGTTCATGACTTGCAAACAAGTGCTCCACTCCTCTGCGCCGCGCGCGCAGCCCGCACGCCGGCCGGCCAGACTGCGACTGCCGCCGACATTGGAATTAACTAGGTACACTACCTACTTTAATGTACCTATGCAGTTTTTAAAAATAAATTTAGTTCGAACCTTTTGAATGGAAGGATTCACAAGGACGCAACGCAACCCCCGCTAAACGGAGCTTGTTGCGTTGGCCCTGCCCTCTACCTTCCGATCGCGCAATTGCTGGTCTATGCCAGAAGTAAGAGTCCAAAGTTTAACGTGCGCACATAGTCGGGTACTCGGGTACGGCCGGTCTCCTCACTGACTTCGCCTGGCTACGGCCTGCCACCAACTGGAACCATACCCGCCAGGAGGCCCATGAACATCGGCGAACCCCGGACTGTTGTAACCGGGACGCGTGGTCTCACCACGCGGAGTCCAACTCTCTATCGACTGAGCTCCGGGACCGACCTTATATATGAGGATATGGCATAAAATTCGACAGAATTTTTCATTTTGAGAGGTCACCGGACGTGATATTGTCAAGCAAACAAGTATAGAGCATGGCTCTGAGGCTTGCAATGTTGACTCCGATTCCGGAGTCTGTAAGATTTTGGCGACTCCAAGACCGACCCGAGCAGAACTGCCGTCTCCAACCGACTCCGACTTCGCAACCCTGCCAATAGCTACAGGGACTTGTCAACTGAAGAGTATGGCACCGCCACCTGGCGACAAGGCAGGATACTACTAATACCAGCTTTGGACACTGCGCCCCCCCCCCCCCACCGGGGAACGCGTGTTTCTTTTTTTTTCCCAACCAAGTAGGTAGGCATAGGCGCTACCCGGAGATGCTTCTCCATGACCAACATATTGTGGTAATGTCGCTCTACTTTATTTCATTCTCAAAGGTTGCTATCCCTCTGCCTTCACTTACACTTTTGTTAATCCAGTAGCCAAGTTAAAGGGACCCTCCCACCTTCAAAAAAGTTTATGAATTGGCATGAAAGTGGTGTCGCGAAAGAGCGAAAACGAATATCTACCAAATTTCACCGAAAAATATTCACCGGTTTTCAAGATATTAGACTTTTACTTTTGTTTACTTTTTGGGATCTCCGCTGTTCCTAGCGACTTTATTTGGAAGCAATAGTTTGGCAGCTGAAAGTGCGGCACTTGTTGCGCGCAAAGCAGCATATACCACCGCGTGCTACAAAACGTTTTAGTCAAACATTTAAAAATCGTTAAATATCTGCGCTGACGTCACACCATTCAGAGGGGTATTCCTATGCACTAGCCCCTCTGAATCAAAATGCTGCAATTTTGAAATTCAATATTTCTGATTTAAGGCATTTCTCGATGTTGTGAGTGCCGAAACCGGTAATTGTGAGCCAGGGACCCCATTTTGGCTATCTCAACTCAAATCTAATGTTAAGGTGGGACGGTCCCTTTAATACAATGAATAAAGTAAACAATATAGGTAGAAGTGTTTGTTGCAATCGATCGCCACGGCAGGTCTGACCCCTTAGGACCGCCATTGTTCACGCAATGGCGGATCGGTCCAGAGAGCTGGCTGTTGTTGTTAGTCCTCCTGTGCGACTCAAGATCTCTCGTCAGCCAGGGGCTCCAGATGGCGCCTGCAGCGGTAGAGGTCGCGCAGCAGCACAGGTTTCACGTGGAAATTGTAGAGTAGCAGCAGACGCAGGCTGGCGAGGCTCGGTCACCATTAAAGGGACCCTCCCAGTCCCACCTTCAAAAAAGTTAATGAAGTGGCATGAAAGTAATGTTGCTCGGTTCAGAAAGAGCGAAAACGAATATCTACCAAATTTCACCGAAAAATATTCACCAGATATTACTTTTTTACTTTTATTTACTTTTTGGGATCTCCGCTGTTCCTAGCGACTTTTTTATGCTGCTGAAAGTGCGGCATTTGTTGCACACAAAGCAGCATAAACCACCGCGTGCTACCAAACGTTTAAGTAAAAGTTTTAAAATCGTTAGATCTGCGCTGACGTCACACATTCAGAGGGGGCATTACAACGCATTAGCCCCTCTGAATCAAAGCGCTGTAACTTTGAAATGAGATATTTTTGATTTGAGGCACTTCTCGCTGTTGTGAGTGCTCAAACCGGTAAGTGCAAGCCAGGGGCCCCATTTTGGTTATCTGAACTCAAAACTAATGTTAAGGTGGGAAGGTCACTTTGAGCTGCACGTGCTCCGGTGTGTGCCCTTCCTCCCCAGACGAAGCACCGGCAGTTGAGTTTGACCACCGGAGCAGCCGAGGGGTGTCCGTGTCCGGAGACGGCCGCTGCGGCCCAGCTACCGCCGCCATTGGTACGGCTCGCTCTGAGTGGGAGGGCTGCGAGGTGCGTCCCAACCGTCTCACGATTCATGTGCGGCTCCCCGTCCAGACCAGGGCCGGGTGGGTAGGTGGCGAGAGGCGCAGGCACTACCTGAAGTCGGTCCTCCACAGGCACGTCCTCTACGTGGCAGATTCAAATGGCTGCTCTCCTCAGTCGTCTACCAACCGTGGTTGGCGTCAGTTGGCGCGCGCGCGGGGGGGGGGGCTGCACTGTGTCAAACATTCTAGTGGTCAGAGGGCAGCGTCTGACTGGGACGATCCGGGGCGGCCGATGCAAGCCTCGGCCACCGGTGGTGGGTGCAGTTCGTCCCGGAGCAGGTGCATGCGGCAGGCTCGGCACGCTCAGCGGTCGTGTGGAAGGCTGGATTGAGTAATAATGCCTGGTGCCGTGTGAGAGGAGGTTGGATCGAGTACTACGGCACACGTAAGACGTCCAAACATTGACGTGATTTCAAAAGAAACGATATGTTCCTGTATAAGCGGTATGGTAACTAATTTCCCTCCACAATTCCACTGCTTCAGACGCAAAACCATGCATCATAAAATACTTGATCATAGACCACCTTACCTTCAGTCGCAGCAGGCACTACCGCCGCCGCCGCTGCTGCTGCCGCCGCGGCTGCCGCTGCCGCTGCCGCCTCACCAGAGCCGTTCACGGACATCTCCGACATCTGGAATCAACAAATGCGTGACATTAAAGGCTGCTGTAAGAGAAACTGATGAGCCAAAAGGGCATAAAGAATAAGGTAAATAACTATGAGCTGTTTGGGTGAAGAATCATTCAAGAATTCATTCATCAGGTATCAGGTATCAGGTACTTGTGATCACACTGAAAGTAAACTTGTGATCAGTCCTAAAGAAGGTACCTACCTATATAAATACCAGGCATTCATGATACTGATAGGCATGGGTGTCGATTTGTATACCTTTGGGGGTGCTGCAGCACCCCCAATGCTCAAATGAGCACCCCCAAAGGTTTTCCGGGCACCCCCAATGGTTTTGTCCCTCAATAACTCCCACTAACTCTGCTTGAGGAAAATAATTGTTCTGCAGTAGTTCACAACTAAAAATAAAACAATTACGCAATTTACAAGGCATGAAATAAAGATGTAAAGATAAGAAAAGTTAGATTTAAGAAGAAGGGCGAAAAAAAGACGTTAAGTTGCAAAGATGGTGTGGGTCCGTCGTACACGGGTGTCGGACCCTTAGAGCTGCTGGCGCGTACCCTTTACAAGCCGGCAGGGGGCTCCAGAGACCGGCGACGGGCCCTCAGAGGCCGGCAAAGGGTCATCAGAGGCCGGTGGTACCTTCAGAAACCCTGTGGGGTCATCTTTAGAGACCGGAACGGGCTCAGGCGCTGATGGGGCCCTCAGAGTCGCCGGTGTGGGGCCTTCAAATGTCACCGGTGGCAGGGTGGCCGTCACATGCGCACTTGTGGGGCCTTCAGAAGCTACGATGTTGGGCCCTCAGAGCCGCCGATATAGGGCCTTAAGAGGCACTAGTGTGGGGCCCTCAGATACGGCAATGTGGGGCCCTCGGACTGGAGGCGCCGGTGTGGGGGCTCTCAGAGACACTGGTTTAGGGCCATCACAGGCGCGCGTTGGGCCCTCAGAACTGCTGTTACGGAACGGATCCTTCATAGGCCGACAAGAAGATATCAAGAGGTCACCGGTGCCTTCAGGAGCCTTGTGGGGTTCTCAGAGACTGGCATGGTGCGCTCAGACGCCGCTGGGACCCTCCGTGTCACCTGTGTGGGGCCGTCAGGGTCGCTGGTAACTGTCAAGGGCCCTCAGAACCGCCCATGTAGGGTTTTTAAAGGCATTGGTATAGGGCCTCAGAGTTAGGGGTGTGGGGCCTCAGAGACGCCGGCGTGGCGCTCAGGGGCGCCGGTGAGGGCCCTCACAGTCGCCGTTATAGGGGCCCTCAGAGAAATGGGTGTGGGGCCATTACAGGCGGGTGTGCAGCTCCTAGAGCTGGCCCCCTAGAGGCCGGTTAAGACACCCAGAGGCCGGCAAGTGGCCCTCAGAGGCTGGCTTGGGGCCCTTATGGAGATCTTAATGTTAGTACTTGTGGGCCCATGAGGTGTTCTTACGAGCCCGTGGGGCCCTTCTGAGTCCAAATATAGCCAACGTGGACCCTCAGTGGCCAATTGGCGCCGCAGTGCCCCTCAGGCCCGAATAATCCGATGGGACCCTGAACCTGATGGGGCGGGGGGGGGGGGGCTCACGGGCCCACCTGGCTACGCCACTGAGGAAAATCGTAAACCCATAAATATCGAAATGCAATCACCTGTTATTTTTTTCAGCGATTATTGTGATCGTCTGATAAACGCCAGAGCCTCGTAGCTATACCGTTGCCTTCCGCGCAATGTCCGCCCCTGCGGACCGCAGGGGCTGCTGCACCGGTGCTAATCGCGGTCATCGGTTTCTGTCACCTTATTACAGAGGTGCCGGGGCTGCTGCCGAGCTGCCGGCAAATGTACGCGTTTTTTTTCGGAATGATGTTTATGTAATGAGGTAGCCAAGTACTAGGACGAGCAGAATGATTTTGAAGAACGTTCAACCTTTGGGAAATATTAGTGGAAATCCCGGGATTATCAGTACCTTATGGGGATACACAACCATGCCTTGTAGATACGGTTGTGCCCCATGGCAAAGCTACAATCTTTCACCCGGTGCAGGGGTTGAGCACCCCCAACCATTTTGAAAAATCGACACCCCTGCTGATAGGAGTTCAAAAAAGTAATATAAAGGCATGGGTCTGAAGGGCTGCCATACACCTTTTAATTTCTATTATGAAAAAATGCATTGTGTCATGGCTGACAAAAAAATAAGTGGTCTAAATTGATGAGAAAACAGGATTTGGGGTGCCCTAGGCTTGGGCCAATAGGTCTGTGCTCCCCCACCCCTTGTCAGTTTAGGAAACTAAGAGGTGAAGATCCAAAAATTGGCAGATCAATAGATGGATTTTGTATGACCATATAAGGGCAAAAATGCAAGCCTCGCAATTACGGGTTATAAACGGCCCTATATTCTCAAAATTAATTGTTTTAAGTTTAAATCTCTTTACAATAAGTAGAGAATAGGTACCTAATTTAAAAAAAAAAAACTTTTTTAAATAGCCAAAATTGGCAATACCATATACGAGATAATAATATAAATGACATTTTAAAATCTTTAGGCTGCTTACTTTTTTGGTGCATCGATTTCAATCAGCAGTGGCTGCCAATCGCTGCTTAACCTTATATCATTACTTAGTGATTTAGAGCCACCACTTCAGTTGGGGAAACTAGGAGGAGCCAAACAAAAATTGGATCAGCCAATCAACGGCTTGAGTGAGTGGGGCGATGACCATATATGGCCATAAAATCAGACTTCATCTTTTCCATGCATCCTAGCATCCAAATGAAAAAATAAGGCATAAGAATGTTTTTTAACCACATAAGGCCTACACTCACTCGGTGCACAATGTACTGGCGGATCTAAATTGCAGAGTTACAATACAAGGTCAAACAGTGATTGGCAAATATGGTGGACTGAAACAGACGCGCCAAAAATGTAAGCAGCACCATGGTTCGAAAATGTCATTTTTATTATTTTGTTTATGGTTTTTCCAATTTTTGCTAAATTATTACCTATTCTCAAATCAAATATCTTTATTTATTAAAAATAATATTAAATCTTTTAACAATTTTCTTTCAAAACACCAATCCATTTATGGAATGGCCAGCTGATTATGACGACCAAAACCTACATTAAAGCCGTTTTCCTATCTCTATTTTCAAGTGAATTCGCCGAATTTAATCAAATCGCGTTAATTCGTAGTGGAAAATGGAAGCCTTTTCTCTCTGATGAGTGGACGCGATACCGCAAGTACCGGCATATTATACCGTTTTTCTTCTGTGGTAGCGAGGGCTGCATTTATGAGCCCTGATCGGCGGCCGGCTAGTACTCTTGCCCGCGCTCACATGCGTGCTTGCGTGCACGTTACCCCGGCAACGGGCTATTGACCAATGAGAAGCGAGAAAAGTGTTACGTCACTGCGATTTTTCATATACCTGTGCCCCCCGGACGTGACGTAGTGTGCTCGCGCGCGTGCAGGGTCTCTGCGATCGAAAAAGAGCGCTAGCAGCGCGCCACTCGACGCCGCAATTGTCAAAAGCGGCGTGTTAGTATGCTTTATTATGAATGATGTGTGTAAAAGTGAGTTTTTATGTTGTTTATTTGGAGGAAATGGTTGGAATAAATTATGTTATTTTTATTTCTGTTGGTTGGAGTTTTTATTCAAAAGATTTCGGTCTATACCATTGATATTTACTGAAAATACCTTCGCTTGAATAAATTGCAGATATTTGGCAACTGAAGTGTGAGGTAAGCCTAAATCATACGTAAGAAGGTAAGAGACACCCTGATTATCATTTGAGAAACGAAAATATATGAATTTCCCTTATAAGACCCGCTCAATATGCTACTCCGCGGTTTATGCCCCGAGGGTGTCCGAGGGTTCCCGTTAGTTTGTCGTTGGCGCTCGGCTCGCGCGCGAGCCGACGTCACCGCCTGTGACGTCGGCTCGCGAAATACGTCATACCCTGCACACAAAATAGCCGGCTGCCGAACAGCGCTATGGGTAAAAGTATACATTGAGACAGTCTGAGTGACTGTTAACAGATAGTTTTCATATACTTACATTATTTGACATCCTGAATCCAAAAATGATACTTATATTTCTTGGAAATAAAAGAAAAACATATTCAAACCTGACCTAACCTAACCTATTTACCTACAACCTACCAACCTACAACCTACAAGCCTACAACCTAACAACCTAAAACCCACAAACCTAAAACCCACAACCTAACCTAACCTAAAACCTATTTTTTTGCTGTTACATATTTGTATCAACAGCGTCACAATTGTCCACTCGGACCTAATATAGGTACACTAATACCCATCTATGCCCATATATGGGCCCTGTTTCACAGGTGATAGCAGCACGCTGCTTTTATACGTGTCAAATTGGGTTTCCATGGAAACATCAACAGGCCCATTGCTCCAACACTACCACAAGTGTGACGTCAGCTCGCGCAATTTGATAGCAGCGTGGTAGCAGCGTCCCGTGAAACACCGCCCAGGTCATCAAAAGTCTCGATCAATTTTTGGATCTTCACCTCGTAGTTTCCCCAACTGACTTAATTGTGCACTGAGTGAGTATTCAGTATAGGCCTTGTACAATTTAAAACTTTCTCCCACGATCATCCTCACCCAGCTCTGCCATATACCCACTCAATCAGTAAGGAGTAATGGAAGTTACAGGCAGTATGCTTTCTTCCGTATATACACAATACTTCCAAAGACTTCAAAGACTTATGCCTTATTTCTCAATTGAATGCTTAGCATATGAAATGAATTATATTTTATGATTTTATGACAATATACCTATGATCATAGCCCCACTCACTCATGCCGTTGATTGACGATCAATGTTTAAAGGAAATAGTTCACTTTTAACATGGGGTTTGGAACTGGAATAGCAGTTTTGTTGCTTGCGCTGAGACTAGCACAAATCAGAAGCTTTTACGGCCCAACGATCACCCTAGACGAAGATATTCCATTTTTTGTTCCGAAAAGAGTGCCTTGCAGAGGAATGCGTGCCTTGCTGAGGAATGCAGTCACGTCATCATCAGCCAATCAGAATGCTGCTTACAGCCGATGGGTTTGTCCTACGCAATATGATTGGTCAACGCGTAATAAGCTTCCGCGTCAAACATTATTTTATATAGAATATAGTTCTTCTTATACTAAAATATAGAAAATAATCCTTTTTACAAAAACGTTTTGTTTTATTTTCTGATCATTTTGAGCATAAAAAACATAAATCCATAGCAAAATACTAATTTCAGGAAAGTGAACTATTTCCTTTAAATCCCTACCTCGTAGTTTCCCCAACTTTTGTCCCTAACTGTTCCGTAGCCAATGGCATTTACATGGGGTCCAACATTGAGTCTGGATTTATATTCCCATTGATATACTGACAAAATGAATGTGAAAAATTCATTCAAAAAGGAATTGCTTCAAGGCAGAAGCAAACAAGCAGAATGGCGCAGCCAGCACTGATGTGGCGCAGTTGAAAAAACTCTTTATTTCGAATCAAATGACTTCCGTTACTGCCATGAAGCTTCTCAATTCGGGGAAATGTTTGCAAAAAGTGAAAATAATTAGTACAACGACACTTACCTAATCTACTAGCAACACAGCGAAATATACACTCCCACACCACGCCGAAATGTAAACGCGCTTCAGATCAAGGCCGGCTAGATCAAGTCTACTTCGAATACATTTAGTCATTTTCCCGCGAACTTTCGGGCTCCCACTATGACGTCATAGATTTCCTCAAAAACAGTATAGCACAGTAGCACTACGCACTAAGTGCTAGACTGAGTCAAGATTCTTAGGTACAGATGTCAGATAGTAGGTATAATTATATACTATCTGTAAGAATCTTGACTTATTCAGTTTTAGCTTATATCGTGGTCATAGGCCGTGTCCAAAATAATTTTAATCCAAAAGATAATCCAAAATTATTTTGCAAAATAATTTTCATTTGGATGTCAGTTCGCACCCAAATCGACAAATTTTGGGATACTACTGTGACCTGGACTGGAAGGTCACGTTACGGTCCAGCATATTTACGTCTGGACAACGAGTTGCGGGGAAAAGTGCTGATTGTGTTGCAGTTTTAGGAGCCGGTGATTAGGCTGGGTTTTTGGGTTACTTTTTCGTTCCGATTCATGTATTTCATAGTGTTTGGCTTTTGAATATTTTAGTTCTTTCAGATAAATATTACTTGCCTTACAACTTTTGTAAAAAACGTTTCATTTTTATAAGCCGACGTTCAGAGTCCTAAAAATACATCAGCACTACAATCATTGTAAACAAACAAATGGAGCACCACTTGGCTCTGTTCCAAGGCCATTTTTAGTTTATCTGGTGGTTTTCTTGCTCTTGTACGTCGTTTTGTTGGATGTTTTGAATCCCTTAAGATTGACTTATATCATAGTTAAGAAGCATGTTGACTGAAAACAATCTGAAGTATCCAGGACCAGGAGGCTGACAGTCGTGACAGAGGTCCTGACTAGTGACTACTGAGCAATATCAATATCAAGTTGAACAAGTTATGAAATTTTGGTTGATAAACGCAAGTTGATCGGGCTCATATATCAGCAAGAAAAAGTAAAATTAAAAGAGCTTATTGTCCAAAAACAAGCTATAATATTGCAGACCTTGGAGCAATACTGAAGAGCACGCTGAGCAGGATCATGCCAGAAAATGTTGACTGATGAGCGCATATTGATGTATTGGTATGAATATTGAATGATAACTTACAACAGCAAGATGAATTAGTGCTAACTATCAAGTTAAAATCTAGAATGAATGGACTTGGGCAGTTTTACTATGCTTAGATGCTATGCAGATTGTAATGTGCATCAGGTACTCAGTGTCTGGCAAATGAAACATGTGATCATTCCATTGCTACTGGAGGAGAAAGCTTGGATCACTAAATCCACTTTATGTTGATTTTGATGTTAATCATCATCACTGTATTTCTTGAAAAAAGGATTGTAGTAAAATTGTCAATGTGACAATCCATACAACGATGTGATCATTATTTACAGTCACCGTGGTGATCATATTATGTGTTCATATAGTCATTTGTGATAGTCATTATTGGTCCAATATACAATGGCAAAGCTCTCAGTCTCAGTGTTTCTTCCTGTGGATGGCCAGCAGTGACTCAGAGCTTAGAAGTATTAGTTTTCTTCACAGGGCTGGGATAAAAAGTACTGAGGGTAATCTTCCACCAAGGAACTCTACTTTGACATGGTATGGGATGTAGGCACAAGTAGGTAGGTGCTCAGTTCCTATAGTCAGTAGTTGTGTATGTTTAGTCGGGTTAGCTTAGATCAGATTGTTAGTTTTTTAATTTGCCAAATGTCCATAAAAATGTGACCTGAGCAATGAGCACTGAACCTGACTAACCTGACAGGCAGCTGACCTAACCTCAATCATCACACATATTTGCAGCCTACCCAAGACCTGCATGGCAGTAGCACCCAGTTAGGTAGGTACTCACCCTAACTCAATCTTAACTGCTAACCTTCAACTTGCCAAAAGTTAGCTCACATTGCCAAGCTGTGTCCAGGGAAACAGTCAACTGAGGAACTGGCTCATTGGGTGGCTGGTGTGAGTCTGTGCATTTAAAGTGTTTCTTCTCTGAAGCTGCTCTGCACTGCTTTATGTCATGTTAGATGCTCAGAAAATGTGGGAAATGATTACTAAGCTACCGTAAAACGGGGTGTTAAGGGACAGTTTTGAGGTGTTTTGTTATAGAACTCAAGAAGGGTTGGAGATAGAAGCATCAAATTGTCAGCATTTTATGTGGAATTTGGTGCTTTACATGCCTGCCACATTAAAGTTTTTAAGATTTATGCCTGCATATTATTTTTTATTATTTTTCATCACTGTCCCTTAGCACCCCAATGTGGGGTGTTAAGGGACACCTATATTATTCCAAGAAATGGTCATCAAATGCCCACAATTGGGGTGTGGAAGGGCACACAATTTATTTATTGAAATGTTTTGCATATTCTGTCACAAAACAAGTCAGGTTCATTCACCACTAATGACCTTTTTAGCCAATTACGTGTAATGCAGTTTACGCTTGTGGAAAATGTGCTAATTATAAGGTAAACAGAACCAAAAAGTAATCTTCTGTCATCAATAAAAACCCATGTTGAAGCTAGTCACTTGTCATTATGTTGCCCTCTTTGTTTTAGCCTTTTTATGATGACATCACATTTACCTACATCAGTCTCCATTGACCCATCATTGTAAACGAGAGTGTTGAGATGTTTTGTTACATAACTTTAGATGTGTTAGAGATAAAAGTATGAACTTGCCAGCATTTTATGTGGAATTTTGTGTTTTCCATGCCTCCTTAATTAAATTATATTTAGATATTATTTTTTATTTCTTATTCCCTGTCCCTTAGCACCCCACATCCACCTCAAAATATGCATGTATCCGGAAAAGAGGAAGAGGATGATGAATGAATGGGTGGATTTGCACAAGTTTTTCAGGAAACATGTGCAATACATGTGACAATACATCTATGCATTCATTTTCCCTGTACACCCACTAGTTTATGTGGTACACACAGAGTTTTGGAGATGTTTCAATTTTGTGAAAATGTAGCATGATTTTCAAATCCATTTTTGAACCAAATCACTTGCATGAAAAACCATACCATTTTCTCCTATGGTCAAGAGCAAAACAGTGTCAACTACCACACTGAAGTTTTTATTGAACCTTCTCAAATTAGGAAGTTAATATGACTCAAAGTTTTTCCCATGCAACTGTCCCTTAACACCCCACTGTCCCTTAACACCCCACTGTCCCTTAACACCCCATTTTACGGTACTTAAGTGCTTTGTTAATGCTCGAGACATGAACAAGTACAGATCCTGCAGGGTACAGCTATGAGTTAGGTGCTAGGTGAGTATGTTATGTGAATGTGCTGTTCCCTGTTTGACCGTAAGTATACAAACAAGCACAGGGTCCCAGTTATATTCAATCACCACATAAACATACAACAAAAACGGCCATATAGCCTAACTCCAAACACACCACAGATAACTTAAGCCTTTGAAGGCACAAAAATGTTTTGATTAACAGGACAGGTTTACAATATATCCTCTGTCCTTGGGGGATCTTGCTGCCAAGTTGAGGTATGATGACTGAACTTCAGGATTGATCAACCTTTTCTTAGCCACTGCTTATATACGAGAAAGACCAAATGTGTGTTTGTTTTGATTTACAGGACATGTATACAATATATCCTCTGTCCTTGGGGGATCTTGCTGCCAAGTTGAGGTACGATGACTGAACTTCAGGATTGATCAACCTTTTCCTAGCCACTGCTTATAAACGAGAAAGACCAAATGCTTGTTTGTAAACTGCGTTGAAAATTTAATGATCCACCTTCAATTCTGACATGAAGGCACAAATGAAATAGTTCCCTCTCCTTTTGGAATACACAAAGCAAAATATTTAATAAATTTTAGTGGATGGACAAGAGCAATTAGCATAGCCTTCCCTCAAGTTAACTTCTGGCACTGTTGATGAATTACACTGACGCTTCTTCGCTTCATAGTTCATATTTTGTAACAAACGCGCTAAAACTGCAATATAACAGCACTATATGCTTCTTGACAAAATGCAATAGTATTAAAAATTTAGCCCTGATGGCATTCATTCTTAGTGGAAACGTAATTACAAAATATTTTGTAGTAACTATTAAATTCCGGCCGAAAACAGTGCACGGTTTAAAAAAGAATCATTCCAATGACGGTCCATTCTTGCGGTCCTGAAATCGCCACTATTTCCGGCCTCTCCAACGCAAGTCGTTGTCCAGACGTAAATATGCTACGGTCCAAGGGCGGACATCGATACAAGTGGCGCTACTCTAGCGGTAAATCTGAGAACTACTGACCGATCTCCGGTCATGTGACCTTGACCGGCTCCTGAGATTAGGGTCACGTGACGCTCGGCCCGTCGGCGACCGCTTCGAAGCGAAAATTCAAGTTTGCAGTGGAACTTTGCATAGACGGACACCAATGACATATGATTCTAGATTAGCATTCGATACAGCGTTTAATTCTACACAGAATGACACTAAATTTAAGAGATTATCTGCCATCACTTCGTCGCACTTTTTGTGGAACAGAAAGAATGTCGAGGCGACGTTGCATGTTAACGCAATGGGAGCGTAACAGGGCGGCGTGCGATATGTACAGATTTATTGCTTTTGCCAACAAGCAAGGCAATAGTAAATTGAATCTAGAATCACGTTTGGTACTAAATTTAACGGGCTATTCAATGCTACTAATTATTCGAAGAATTAAAATAGCATCTCGTCGCAGATTTCAATTTGCTTACTCGTTAATATTTCCCAGATTAGGTATTGATACCTATTCGGCATTGCTCGTCTGACAACATTAACCTTCGAGTTTGCATCAAGTTTTCATGTTGATGCGCACAATGAAATATAATTCTAGATGGCTGTTCAATTAAGTGCTCAATTCTAAACAATATGGCACTATTGAAAAGGATAAATCTGCAATCCCTTCACCGCACTATTAGAACAAAAGGATATTGCATAGGGTAAGGTGCCTAATTAGCGACCCTTTCCGATTTGCGACCTACCTCCCTACAGAAAAACTGGCAGGAGAAAACGGGGTAAGAACATCGTCAATAGGTCAGCCATACTTTGGTTATCAAATTAAATTATTTTCCGGTCGTCGATGTTTCTGGTGGGACGTTTCAGGTGAGTTTAAATAAAAATGACGAGTTTCTTATCCAAAACGTGTGTGTTTGGGCCCTCTCTGAC